GTGAAACACATTGTGCACTTGCTCCATGCCCGATGGTAAAGCAACCTGATAGGCAACCGGACCTAATCTTTCCAAAATCTGATACGCCCCTATGTACCGAGGTGATAATTTTCCTTTTTTTTCCCCAAATCTTATGTGCCCTTTCATTGGAGTGACTTTGACAAAAACATGAACCCCAACTTCAAACTCCAAGTCTCTCCTTATTTGATCCTCATAGCTCTTTTGTCGGCTTTAAGCAGTTTTCAATCTCTGTTGGATGATTTGAATCTTTTCCATAGTAACTTGCACAATTTTAGGCCCAATCAACGACCTATCCCCAACCTCTGTCCAACAAATCAGAGTTCGACATTTTCTCCCATACAAAGCTTCATATGGTGCCATTCTAATACTAGAGTGGAAACTGTTGTTATAAAAAAGTTTCGCCAAAGGTAAATGAGTTTCCCAACTTTCACGGAAATCCAAAACACACATTCGAAGCATGTCCTCCAACGTTTGTATAGTTCTTTCAGATTGTCCATCAGTTTGTAGATGAAATGCGGTACTAAACTTCAACTCCGTCCCCAATGCTTTTTGTAAGCTGTGCCAATACCTTGACACAAACTTAGAATCTCTATCCGACACAATGGAAACCGGAACGCCGTGCAATCGAATAATCTCAGCAATGTACACAATAGCAAGTCGATCAGCATTATAGACAATCTTCACAGGAAAAAAGTGAGCAGATTTAGTCAAGGGCAAACTTCACTTTACCCCCTATGGTATAGGCCATGTGTGAATCACCTCTCTGACGTTCGAATATCACTACATAACCCCCCTGTGGTTGATGGAGTGAAATGCACAATTACCACCGTCAACATCAGAAGTAAAAAGATTATTTTGCCCTTGTATATATAACCTTTGTTTAACATTTCTTCTTCAACAGTTGTGCATTTGAGAAGAACAAGAGGGAGAACTTAGGGTTTTGATATATGAAATTAGGATTTTGATTTAACAAATTAATTTAAACAACAAAGACACGCCATGTTCTTCCTCCTTCTCTCTTTAAAATTACAACCCTACCATTTCTCTATAATTAAACAAAATCATAACCATAGACGGATGAAACCCACGAAAAACACAGTGGACGACTGAAACTGCCACCATGGACGGCGAGACCACCTCTACATAGCACCTAAGTTATTAGATAGATGATGACAAAACACCAAACTAAGTCAATAGTTCTACACCATCAAGAACTAACCAAAACTAACAAAAGCAGTCTATATTACATAACAAAACATAGCAACCATGGACTATAACATCCATGGCCGAACCTGGAAATACACAGGCTAAACCTGTACACAATCATAATGACTTATGTAAACCATCGATGACAGTTGAACCTTTACTTTCAATTCCACCGAACCAGAACAAACCCATCATCATCATGATTCGACAATCAAAGTTCACAAATGGGTCTTGATCGAATCGAATTTTGAGTTCAAAATAGAAATGGGTTTGGATTTGAACCCGTTTTACGCTGAATCGTTCGTTGAATGGGATGTGCGAGCACCATTAGAGGTGATATACGAAGTGTGCGAAGACGATCAAATTGGATGAGAAATAAGAGAGATACCCATTGCTGTGAATGATTTTAGGAATTTAGTATTTAGATTTTAAATTGATTTGTAAAATATTGAATGATTGGATAATATATATATTATTCACTGTGCATATATATGTTCGTGATACAATTTGTAGGTTTATATATATATATGTGTGTGTGTGTGTGTGTGTGTGTGTTAGAGTTGGTGATTCAAATTTTGTTTTTCTTTTTATTTACTTGTCATAATTTAACACCAATTGATTTGATCAAACTTGAACATTTGTAATTGATTACTTTGACTGGGAGTGGTTTGATTATGGAGGTATCGGTGGGAGTTTGTAATTTTACTCTCTTTTTTCCCCTTCTTCTGGGTAGAGATTTCCAGATCAGGGTTTTGAAAATGAAGAAGAAGGACTGCTTTGGAAATTGGTGATGAAGATGAGGGCATTTTAGTCATTTAATTCGGATAAAAAATTATCTTCCATGACCAATTGCACAACCCTCGTGTGTATTACACAGCCTGTTAGAATAGATGAAAAAACAAACTGTGTACTTCACTCCATCAACCACAGGGGGGTTATGCGGTGATATTCGAACGTCAAGGCAGTGATCCGCACATGGCGTATACCATAGGGGGTAAAATGAAGTGTGGTCTTTGGTCAATCTATCCATAACAACCCATATAGAATCCATACCTCGGGGTGTTCAGGGTAAGCCCACAATAAAATCCATAGTTATATGCTTCCACTTCTATTCTAGAATACGAAGAGGTTGAAGTAACCCCGCCGGTCTTTGGTGCTCCACTTTTACTTGTTGACATTGAAGGCACCTTGAAATGAATTCCGCAATTTCTCTCTTCAAATTACGCCACCAAAAGGCTTGCTTGAGATCTTGGTACATTTTGGTATTCCTAGGATGCATAGCAAACCTGGACTTGTAAGCTTCTTCCAAGACTCTTCCTTTAACTTCAGCGACATTTGGAATACACAATCTTCCCTTGAACTTCAACAATTAAGCTTCCAAAGAAAATCCCGGTCTCGGTTTTGCTTCCATCTCATCATATACTTTCTTCAGGAATTCATCCTTCAATTGCCTTTGTTTAATTTCCTCAATAATAGCCAGTTGTGCGGTCATTGCGGCCAACATTCCATCTTGTTCATGTAGTACAATTTTCACCTCCATTTTTTCCAAGTCAAGTAATAGTTCATTCTACTCCATAAGCAAACATGCTAAGTTTCCTATTGACTTTCTACTAAGAGCATCCGCTACCGTGTTGGCTTTACCAAGATGATAATGAATCTATAAGTCATAATCCTTGATGAGTTCTAACCACTGTCTTTGTTGCATATTAAGCCCCTTTTGAGTAAAGAAATACTTGAGGCTCTTGTGGTCGGTGTAGACTTCACACGTTGCTCCATAAAGATAATGCCGCCATATCTTCAATGTAAATACCACATCAGTTAATTCCAAATCATGCGTAGGGTAATTCTTTTCATGTGGCTTCAATTGTCAAGATGCAAATGCAATTACCCTTCCATTTTGCATAAGTTCACACCCCAAACCCTTATGAGAAACATCACTATAAATAACAAACCCTTTTGTACCTGATGGTAAGGCGAGAACCGATGCCGTTGTGAGCCTTGTCTTTAATTCTTGGAAAACGGACTCCCGCTGTTCTGTCCACTCAAATGGAACACCTTTTTGAGTCAATAGGGTAAGCGGCACCGCAATCTTAGAGAAATCTTTAACAAATCTTCGATAGTAACCAGCTAAACCCATAAAACTATGTACTTCTGCAGTGTTGGTGGAAGCAGGCTAATTCACAATAACTTCTATCTTTTGCGGATCGACAGACACACCATCCTTGTTAATTACATGCCCCAAAAACACAACTCATTCAACCAAAATTCACATTTCTTCAATTTAGGATGTTACTTCTTGTCCCTAAGTGTTTGAAGAATTAATCTCAAGTGCCTTTCATGTTCCTCCCTACTCTTCGAATAAATAAGAATGTCATCAATGAATACCACCACAAACTCATCCAAGTGCAGTTTGAAAATCCGATTCATTAAATCCATAAAAGCTGTCGGTGCATTCGTAACCCCAAATGGCAAAACTAAAAATTCGTAATGGCCGTACGTGGTTCGAAATGCAGTCTTCTCAATATCCTCTGCTTTGACTTTCAACTGATGGTACCCGGATCTCAAGTCGATTTTTGAAAACACTTGTGCCCCCTGTAATTGGTCAAACAAATCATCAATCTGTGGTAAAGGATATTTATTCTTCACCGTTACCTTATTAAGTTCTTGGTAATCAATACACAACTGAAGGGTCCCATTCTTCTTTTTCACAAACAAAACCGATGCACCCCATGGCGATGTACTCGATCAAATGAACCCCTTGTCAAGCAATTCTTGCAACTGTATTTTCAATTCCTTCATTTCTGCCAGAGACATTCTGTACAGAGCCTTCGAAATAGGTTGAGTACCCAGTACAATATCAATGACAAATTCAATCTCACGATCTATCAAGTCCCCTGGAAATTCTTCATGAAATACATCTGGAAACTCACTAACAATTTGAATATTTTCAACACCCACCTCAGTTGTCTCTACATGCAAAATAATACACAAATAACCCCTATAACCCTTATGAAGTAGTTTACAAGCTTTCATAGCCGATATCAAATAGGGCGGAGGGACCACCCCATGTCCCAAAAAAGTAAACTCACCTTGACCCGGTGGGCGGAAAACAACTTGCTTAGACACACAATCAATGGTTGTATGATACTTAGCTAACCAATCCATTCCCAAAATTATATCAAAGTGTACCATATCAAGAGGCATCAAATTAGCCCACAATGGAATATCTTTAAGTAAAAGCTCACATGCAGGATACATAGAAGCACACAACACATAGTCCCCGAATGGGAGAGACACGCACAACACATAATTCAAGGGTTCCATATATCTATTCAAATTAGGAGCAAATGTTTTTGAAACAAAGGAATGGGTGGAACCCGAATCAAGTAGCACATTAGCAGGTTGGCCATTGATGGAAAGCGTACCTGAAACCACAGCATCTGAATTTTGGACATCACCCGGAACAAGAGCAAAGACTCCCCCTTGCCTAACGTTGTCTCTAGAAGTAATAGGCCTTGCCAGGGTCTTTGTTGCAGGAGTGGAGCCGGCTAAACTAGCTGATGGCCTATTCCCTTTTTGTTGCCCAAACATAGGGCAATCTCTCACCATATGCCCCGTCTTTCCATAATTAAAGCAAGCTCCTGATGCTCGATAAAAAACCCTCTGGCACTTCTTTCCACACTCTGGGTAAGTTGGTAACGAATCACAAGTAGAACCTGAAGTGTTGGAAGTTCCCAAATTTTGCTTCTTACTTTGTGAGGATGCCGAACCTTTATGCACAATGGAGCCTTGCCTTTTGCCCTTCCAATCCGAGTACCAGTTGTGGTTGGCTTGGTTACCTTTCGCTATGATGGCCTTGTCCAATACATCCACATATTTCTGTACCTACAATACATTAGTCTTCTCAAGAATGGAGTCTTGAAGACATCCCTCAAATTTCCTCGCCTTCTTGTAGTCCGTATCGACCATGTACGGTGCAAAACAGGCTAATTTGGTAGATTGCACTTCATACTCCGCTATGGTCTTGTTTCCTTGCTTCAAGTTTTCAAACTCTGACACCTTCCTATCTCGGTTACTCTGTGGAAAGTATTTCTCATAGAAGATCTCCAAAAATTGAGCCCAATTCATCCCTTGATGCTCTCCTCAAATAAGCACCCACCAATGGCGCGCCTCATCCTCTAGTGTAAAAGCAGCTAGCAAGACTTTATGTTCCTCCATACATGGAAAGACTTCAAATAATTTCTCGATACCCAGCACTCAAGCCTCCGCCTTTAATGGGTCAATTCCTCCTTTGAACAAGGGTGGTTCATCTTCTTAAATTCTTTTGTGAGAGCAATAGTTCAATCGTCAGTCTGGTGGTCTTGCATTGGTGGCGGTGGTTGTTATTGTTGTTGTTTTCTAAAGGCCTCAACCATGTCCATGATCATTGCCTCCATTCTATCAAGTCGCGCGTAGGTTCAATCCTCTCCATCCTCTGCTCTTGTTCTCACCATGATCTAGAGGAACACACATTATAACGTTTCCAAATAATAAACACATAAGTCACATTTACAAATGCACATTTTCATGTCATACTTGATTATGGATGCATTATGAATGCAACTTAAACCCTTTCTAGACTTCTTATTGCTTGCACGGACTCGTGTGTAAGATATTAACTTGTGCTCTGATACCACTCTGTCATGACCCGACCTCGCCTCTAAAAGTTTGGGGCATAACCGGCCGGTAATCACTTGATTACCTTTGGCCTCAAACAAACATACAGAGTAATTATAGTAATGGGGCCAAAAGCAGAAGTATACAACAAAAGAATGATTCCATTGAGCTATACCAATATGAACAAAAAGTAACACATCCACATCATTTACATGCCCATGCAAAAAGAATATAAGTATCGAAAGAAATTTGTGCATAACATTTACAAACCCAAGACCACAATAGCAAAAACAAAATAGAGTCAAAGTATGATGTGAGTTAGAGATGAAACTCCATCTTGGAGGTGTCACTCGATTGGGTCTAAAAAAGAATGGCTCATGAAGCTGACTCTAGGGGTGTGCTCCATGCTGTGGATTACCTATATGTGCATACATAAAATTGGGTGAGCGAGGCACAATGACTAACAATACAGTAAAATAGTGTCAATAGATAGTCATAAGATTCTCACAATACCCAAAATCTTATAAACAAAATAGCCTTAGGCCCAATCATACTTCAAAACGACCTCGGGCCCAACATATAACAAAATAACTTCGGGCCCAATCATATATCAAAACGGCCTCGGGCCCAACATATAACGAAAATGGCCTTGGGTCCAATCATATTTCAAAATGGCCTCAGGCCCAACATATAACAAAACGGCCTCGGGCCTAATCATATTTCAAAATGGCCTCAGGCCCAACATATAACAAAATGGCCTCGGGCCCAATCATATTTCAAAACGGCCTCGGGTCCAACATATAACAAAACGGCCCCGGGCCCAACGTTGCACATGTCATATAATATTAATGAGGTTTCTTATTTCAAACAAATCACAATGTCAAAACCATTCACCGTTCATGGTTCAAGGTACACAATAATGAACATATAAATATGATATTATTACTCACAGTGGGATCAATCTTATGGCGTTTCCCCCGGCACACGACCTATACCAAACATGTCACACACATATTCAATAAGTAATTCACTTCAATTGTACTCTTTTCTTTCATTATTCACAACCTTCTTTAATGAGTTTCTATTCATCATTTCACGCCCAAAAGGGGCTAAAAAAAGGTTGGGAATGCATTCTAGAGGCTGGGGGTAGTAAAACAACAGCCGCTTGAGCGGTCTGGCTCTGCACGTGTAGAAATGGCCGCCGCTCAAGCGCAAAATAAAGAGTGGGTTTAGGCTTAAATCTTCGGCGCTCGTACAGAGCTTGAGGCCGCATGAGCGGTCTACGCTCACTCGGGCAGTCCGAAAATGGCTCTAAGATGCAAACGCTTTCCTCTCATTCCCAAGCCCAAATCCATGTAAAAATAACTAAAAAACATGATATCTAAGCATGATACAAGTGTAATTCCACATTAAACATATCAATCTTGCATCAACAACAATTTCATGGTCTCATCTTTTCACAATTTCATGGTTTACATACACAAGTTCAAAATACATATATTTATGAATGATTTTCTCACAAATCTTGTTTATATGAACCATCAAGGGTTTGTTTCATGGATCAATCATAAAAATGAACACAAATCAAACAATGGTGTAGAGATTAAGGTCCAATTTCATGCCTTTAGCCCTAGTCACTACACAACTCAACACCCTAGCTCAAAATTCCTAATTTCTTCATGATTTCTTGACAAAGATAAGTTAGAGACAAAGTTTGAAAGTAAATTAACATACCTCAACTCAAATCTAAGGTTTGCCCTCTGATTTTCTTCAAATCCTTAGCTTTCTCTTCCACTCTCTCTCTCTCTAACTCACTTTCTAGGGCCCTCAAGCAACAAATAAAGAACAACAGGGCTAAACAACTCATATATGACCCAACTCATAAAACATGATTAAATCATTACGGATCATGATTTTTCAAAATTTCATCGTAAGCTCTATAAATCATGCTAATCATAGATATGAAGTCGGTTTTTCTTTATCGTGCCTCTAAGGCCTTCAATTTCGGTTCAAAGTCTCAATTACAACAGATATTTTTACTTTCCACAGATATTTTTTCAAATTCACATAATTCACATACTTAAATTTGCAAATTCATATCAAACACATAATCATGTGCATAATTAAGTATAGTATGAGTTGGGTTATCACACTCATTTTGTTGTAACCAAGCATGATCTTGGAAAGATGGAAGCCATTAGGGCATATGAATATTTGTTTAGCTTTCATTTCTTATTTCTTCTTGTAACACATGTTGTAGATTCAGGATGAACGATTTATGAATGTACATCGCATGTGTCACCTTTTGTATATTGACTCTGATTAATGAAAACTTCTTATTTTATTTATACCACTCTGCACTAGTGTTTGGAGTTGGATTATTGTAATTATTTTGGGGGCGTTACACATTTGAGGGAAAACATTTTTCTTCTACTCAAGTGTAATGGTCACTTGTATATATAAATGTATTGAGTAAATGAGCTTAAATTAAAGGTTTTGGTAATGTTTCCAGGTAATAAAATTTGAAGCTTGACACTCTCTACCCGGACTCATACTTTATTTACCTCTCATTGAACTATTTTTCAAAAGAACAAGTATCCAATTTCACATGAAACAAATAAAGATGTAGGAGTTATAATTTCATCTATGTCCAAATCACATTCTCAACTCCACAATTACTACACTCACCCTTTAATCATCCACAAAATCTCAAGAATTAAGGATAAATTTGATCACAATATCATTCTCTATCAAGATCAAAATTAAGGTTTCAATAATTTTGGGGCTTTCACTCTATTTTCATATATATATATATATATATAATTCTCAACATCAATGTTCATATTATATGGAAAATTGGGTGAAACTCTAACAATAGTCAAATAAAATTTCCCTTTGTGTCAAATACAAGCTTAATCTCACTCAATCATTAAATCAATTCTTATATTTACAATCATACCACATAATCATCTTTAAATCAAAGAGATACTAAGTTAAAAGTAACCCTACCTCAAGTTATGGGTAACAATGCTAAACTTCAAAGTGTACTCTTCGTAAAATCTCAATCTAATTGGTAGAAATGAAGATCTTCACATGTACTTCATTTCTTGCAAGTGATTTAGGCTAGATCTTAGAAACTTAGGGTTTTCGGAGATAGGGAGAGGAGAGAGAAGGTAGAAAGGAAAAGGTGAAGAAATAAGCTAAAAAGTTACTTTTTAAGTTGCTGGTTTTGCGCAGACTGCTCAAGCGGTCTTTTCATTGCTCGAACGGTGAATGAGGCCTCTCAGTATTTTTGTCTGCAAAATGAGATATTGGGAGCTCTTCAAGTTGGCTCGAGTGACCACTAGTTCGCTCAAGCAGTCCACTCTCGCTCGAGTGACTAGATGTTCTCCATCTTCACTCGAGCAGTACTTTCACTGCTCAAGCGGTCAGCTGGGACAAATGTCACAATTATTACCCCTAAAAAGAAAGAGGGGAAAAAAAACATAATTTAACATTTATAACAAAATAAATTGGCAGTTTCAAATTTTGCCACTTTCAATTTTATATTCAATAGACTAAAAAGATGAACGCATAAAAAGTTTATATTATTATGGTTGTGAATTATTTTGAATAAATCAGCTTCAATAGAGGTATTATTTTTGTATAAATCTATTTGTACATAGTATAAACTCTCAATACATATCATAAATAGTGTTCGGATATAAATATTTGAACAAAAATCAAATGTTCGAATATAAATTTATGAACATAAAGTAGTTCGGATATAAATAATTGAACAGAATATATATTTGAATAATTTATTTTTATTCATAATCCTAAATTCAAACATTTGCCGTTTGGTAACACTTACGTTTTCAGTTTTCTGTTTATATTTACAAAAATTTTAAAAACTCAAATAAAAACTTGTTTGGTAAAATTTTTGATTTATAAATCAGTGGTCTCAGTTTATAAATTTGGCTCACACAAATATGTGAGTTTCGCGATTTATTTGAATGTTTTCAATTTTTTTTTAGTTCTTCTTTAACACCCAATGTACTGAGTCCACTCCGTGTATCTCCATCTACACCATTTCCAACCGCCTCTTTTGTATACTAAGTCTTTCCGTCTCAGTAGACCGTTCACCCCTACCACCAACCTGCGTCACCACCCACCACCACGCACCTACCAGCCACCACCACACCTCCACCGAACGTTCGTTGGGGAGACACATCAGTCTCTCACCCGTTTTGTTCCTACCACCTCGAGCGCGTGCTGCCTGTCCACACTACAGAACACCACCCACTACCGCAGCACTTTGGCCGATCACACTCATGTCACGCAACCCGACGCCGCCACCTTCGCCTTGACTGATATCTATCCACCACTCCTAAATGCTCCTCACGCTGCCTTATTGCCACCGGTGTCAAAACCTCGACCAACCGATCACCCGATAACCACCTCAACGCAAAAGAGTCCTAATCCGGCAAATCATTTTGAATAACTGAATTTTTAGAACACCGAAGTGCCAAACATGGATTACTTTGCCTACACATTACCCACACCACCTGTCACCATCAAGACCACCCACAAATAGCGCATACCTGCACACCGACCGGTCACCGCCACAACCACCCACCACCTCACCGCACTCGCTACCCCGACCTAACCACCGCACACTGTGCCACCTAACACTGTATCACCTATTTGGGACGCGAGACAATTTAGGAAACGCCTTGACCAGTGCCTAACGGCGCACCCCGACGTTATTCCGTCCGATACCACCACGCTAATCCCCGCCACGCACCGACAGTTGCCCGGTCGGCTCGGGACTTGGGTACCAGCATTGGCTGCCAAACCGAAGGTGAACTACTCTCGCATCACCGGCAGCGCCACGACCACCACCACCTCACTCGCTACAACTCAACCACCTCACCACCGTCCGCGCGCTCACCAGTCCACTACCCACCACCCACCACCACCCGCGCATCCCGCCACCCACCTGCCACCACCACGCACCTACCCGCTACCCACTGCCCATCGCTACCACGCCACCCGCCACCGCGTCACCCACTACCCACCACCTACCACCCGCCATCCGCCACCCACCCGATCAACATGCACTCGGACCCACTTGAGCCACCCGCCACCACCCTACAGCGTACACCTTATAACCTCCCCACGTCAGGAACCGTTTCTACTGGAACCAACGACACCACCCACATCGTACGCTCTCTGTCCCACCACCAAACCTCACCCACCACCCACCTTTACCACCTTTCCAACCGAGTTTACTTACGCGTCATTCCGCCGCCACTTGCCACCACTTGCCATTTCTCACTCTTTTTTATATTTTTAAATTTTTTTAAATATTTTGTTAATTACCAAACGCGTTTGTAGTTTATGTTTTTCTAAAAATAAACAAAAAATAAACAAAAACCAATTTATAAATTTTTTGTAAATATAAACTGAAAATGTAAACGTTACCAAACACACCATTTTATAAAACGTAAAATTTATATCCGAACATCATTTGTGATACATACTAAGAGTTCGAATGGTATGCAAATAGACTTTCTCATAATTTTTTCTTATTTTATAAAACTGATAATTTTTCATTGTTTTCTCCAATTGTTGGATAAAAAGACTTTTTATTTTTGAAAAATAGCATGAAGTTCAATTTTTGACCAATCAAATCATATCTGATTAATTTGATTTTTTTTTTTATATAAATGATATGGATGATATTCTTTGTATAAGTTTAAAATAAAAACAATAATCATTATAAAAATCAAAAAAAATAAAGATGAGTCAAATAAATTAAATATTTTAATCTAGATTTTATTTATTGACATACAAAGACTTTTAAGTTTGTTCAAATTCTAAGAATTGTTTAATGCTCTAAGGATGTGCCAAAACTTGATTTGGAGGGTGTTTGGGAAGTGGGTATTGTAGTTAGCTTTTTTTATTTTTTACAACAGACATACAGAAAAATAGAGAAAGTGACGTGATTGGATATTTTAACTTTTTGACTATTTAAACCAAAAAGTCAATAACCCAAATAGACTCTCAACGTCAATTTCAACTATATTCTTATAAATTAATTAGAAAAATAAGAAATTATAAGTGTTAGATTTGATTTAAATATAAATTTCTAAAGAGTGAAGATGATGGATCGAGGGGGTTGGAACCCAGTGATACGCAGGAGAGAAGTGGGAAGCCAGCTTGGAGATCCTAAGGAGGAATTCTTGATCACCATTTTCGTGGATAACATACCTGACTCAATGGATCCTAAAGGCTTGTTTAATCTTTTCCAAAAGTTTGGTCTAGTCAAGGATGTGTTTATCCCGGGTAAGAGGAGGAAAGCTTCAAAATCCAGATTTGGGTTTGTAAGATACGACTGTGAGGTGACTGCACGGGTGGCGATTCAGAAGGCAGATGGTTTGTGGTGTGATAACAAGGCACTGAGGGTTAAGTGTGCTGAGTATTAAAAGCCTCAGAGAATGGGTCAGCAGAATCCCAGGGGGTTGAGCAGAGGAGATGAAGGTCGAGTGGAGAATCAGCGGATTCATTGAAAGCAATAGAAAGGTAAGGGTGTCCAGAAAACCTATGCAGAGGTATTACTAAGTGATGAGGCCAGAGACAAAGAAAAGTGGTGGTAAAAGTTTATGTGGAAGGTAATGGTTGGAGGTATGAAAGTTTAGTAGTTCAGCTGAGTAGCTTTTTAGCCTTCAAGAAGTTCAGAGAGGAATTGAGCAATAGAGGCATGAGGGATGTAGTTGCAAGAGAGGGGTGGCAAACTAGTCCTATTAACTTTTCCCACAGTACAGCATATGCAGGAAGGAAAGAGACTTTTGTAGGGGTGGGGGAAGCAGTGGTGTGAATCCATCAATGAATGGGAAAAAGGCCAGTTTGCAGAGCAAGAGAGGTGCGTTTGGTTGAATTGTTTTGGCATTCCCATTAATTTATGGAGCACTACGACAATCCGCAACATAGGTAGTTATTGGAGGGAGGTAGTTCAATTTGAAGAGGACATCAACAATCCAATGACTTTTTAACAAGCTAAAGTTAAAGTGATTACGGGCTGTTTGGAGTGGATTAACACAATAATTTTTATGGAGCACAAAGGCTGTCACATTCTAGTTAGAGTCTGTGAAGAGCTGCCCAAGTATTTATTTCCAAGTCCTACTGAGAGCTGAGGGAGGGATCAAGATCGATTGCATTCCAATGGCAAAGAAGAGGTAGATCAAATGTCTGGCAATGGTGGACGCAGCAAGACTGAAAGGCAAGTTTCTGCAGGAAGAGAGGGGTTGGTGAGTGAAGGATTTGAGGTGGCTAGTAGGGTTCTGGAGACTTGGATGGGCAGATCAGAAGTGCAGAGTAGAGATAATGATGGTAAGCATGCAAATACAGTGGTTGATATAGAGGGGAGCGTGGGGACTGGCTATGAAGGTGCTTGTTCCAAGGCGAGAGAGGTGGAGCAGGATGTCAACTCTCGTCAGTTAATCATGAACGGAGTTCAAATTATAGACGAGTCTATGTGTAGCACAGGACTCTTAAGGGAGTTGAGTGGGCTAGCAAAAGCAAGGCCCAATATAAATTTGGAAGTTTTAATTGAAGGAGTGCAGAAGGGGGCTGAGCCCAGTGGATTGTATCAGGGGTTGGAGTCGGACTTGAGTGAAAATATGGCCCAGGCTCAACTTAGGCCAACTATAGCCCAAATAACTCACATAAACATGGTCAAACGGACTGTAAAATGGAGCAAACTAAAGGAAGTTACAGAGTAGAAATGAGGTAAGTCATGGAAAAAAGGTATTGAACGAAGAAGAGGCATGTTTGGCAAACTTGGCTTTCAAAGGGGAGCCATTCTCAGAGCTTTTGCAGATGCAGCGGTTTCATCTATGGCTATTTCCCAGAGTTAGGCAGTGAGTAGAAGGAGGAAACTGTTTGAGGAGGCTATGTCAACAATGAGAGTGGGTACTCTGCTAGGAATGGATTGCCAAGGCAAAGAAGAGGAGTTGGTAAGCAAAATTGTGGAGCTGGAAGAGAAGGATTTGAGCAAAATTGAAGGTGATGAAAGGGCAACCAGAGCTTAATCGGCTGTTTGAAGGGATTAGGTTGTAAATAGTGAGTTTATCATGAAGATTTTATCTTGAATGTTAGAGGGCTGGGAAGGCCAGAAAAAATGGGAAATATTAAGAGATTGGTGAGGGAGAAAAGTGTTGATGTGCTCTTTCTTCAGGAGACTAAAAGAAGCTCTATGGATGATTATTTTGTGAAAATCATTTGGCCTTATGAAGAGATGGAATTTATGATGGTAGATTCAGAGGGAGTGCTGGAGGTCTTTTGTGTATTTGGAGGCCACAAGTCTTCGAGCTTAAGGACTGTTGTAGCAGCAAAAATTTCATTATTTTATCAGGTATATCTAGTAATTCTTTTTAGTGTACTCTTGTGAATATCTATGCTCCTAATGAGGCTTTCAGTAGGAGACAGTTATGGAACTCTCTAGTGTATATCCATCCATATTTTCCAAACCCTTGGTGTGTGGGAGGGGACTTCAATGAGATTAGATATATGGGTGAGAGGAATGGGTGTTCATCTAGAGAGAGGGGGATGAAGGACTTTAATGAGTTTGTGGAAAAATTGGAACTAGCTGATATGCCTTTGCTAGGTAGGCAGCATACTTGGTGCAATGCACTGGATGGAAAAAGGTGGAGTAGGATAGACAGATTTTTGCTAGATTTGAAGTGGATGGAAAAGTTTTCTTTTAAGCAATGGGGTCTACCTAGGACATTCTCAGACCACTGCCCTATTCTGCTAAAGGAAGATGATAGGGATTGGGGACCAAAGCCATTTAAATTTATCAATGCATGGTTAACTCATCCATCCTTCATAACTGAAGTTAAAAAGAGGTGGGGGAAAGCACAAGTTCAAGGGTGGGCAGGGTTCAGAGTAATGAGAAAATTGAACATGCTTAGGAGTCACTTGAGGGTGTGGAATAAGGAAGTATTTGACAACATTGACACTCAGCTAAAGGCAGCAAAGGAGGAACTTCATGAATGGGACTTGAAGGCAGAGTCTAGGTCCCTTGATGAACAGGAACTGAAGAGAAGAAGAAAAGTTAGAAGCCAGGTGTGGCAGCTTAGTAGGAGCAAGGACAGGTTATGGCATCAAAAATCAAGGCAGATGTGGGCTCATTCTGGTGATAAAAATACTAGGTACTTTCATATTATGGCTAGTAGAAGGCAGAGAAAGAATTTGCTTGACTCTGTTCTTGTGGAGGATAGGAGATTGGAGGATCCAGCTCAGGTGAAGCAAGAAGTGGTTAGGTATTTCAGTCAGTTGTTCTTTGAGAACTGGAAGTTCAGACCAAAAATCTTATGCCCTTTTGTTGTCATTAGCTCTGTGGAAGTGGGTAACTTGGAAGCTGGATTCTCTGAAGATGAGATATGGGAAGCACTGCAGGATTGTGATGGGAACAAAGCCCCAGGCCTAGATGGCTTTAACCTTACTTGCATTCAAAGGTGTTGGTCTATATTGAAGGGGGAGATTATACAATTGGTGAACGAATTTCACTCAAATGGTAAGCTGTCAAGAGGGGTTAACAGCTCCTTCATCGTTCTTATTCATAAGAAGGATAATCCTATAGGCTTGGGAGATTATAGACCTATCAGTTTAGTTAGCTCTATCTATAAGATCTTAGCAAAGGTGTTTTCCAGGAGACTTAAGCAAGTCCTGCCATCTATGACTAGCGAGGTGCAGTCAGCTTTTGTGAGTGGTAGGAACATTTTAGATGGAGTGTTAATAGCAAATGAAGTTGTAGATGATTGGAAAATATCAAAAAAGAAAGGTATCATTCTAAAGTTGGATTTTGAAAAAGCTTATGACTCAATTAATTGGGAATTTCTGTGGTCGATGATGAACAACTTTGGATTTGGAGAGAAATGGATAGGTTGGATGAGGACTTGCATTTCTACAGCCAGGGTATCTGTCTTGGTTAATGATTCACCCACAGAGGAATTTCAACCACAGAAGGGGTTAAGGCAAGGCGATCCCCTTTCACCTTTTTTGTTTATTATTGCAGCTGAAGCTCTTAACCTTTTATTAGCAAGGGCAACAGAGAAGGGATTATTTAGAGGAGCCATAGTTGGAGGTAATGAATTACGTATTTCACATCTCCAATTTGTAGATGACACAATAGTATTTTGTGAAGGTGATATAGAGGAAGTGCTAAATATTAAAAGGGTGATGAGGTGTTTTGAAGTGATGTCTTGTTTAAAGATTAATTATCACAAGAGTGTAGTATGCGGAGTGGGTTTCCAAAAGGATGAAACTATGGGTTTAGCTCAAAGATTGAACTGCCTATCCAAGAAATTACCTTTTAATTTTTTAGGATTGCCTTTAGGGGCCAATCCTAAGAGGAAGTGCACTTGGAGTTCAATAGTGGATAAGGTGAGTAAGAAGTTGTCTTCTTGGAAGAGAAAGCTACTATCTTTTGCTGGGCGGTTGACCTTGCTTAAGTCAGTCCTCTCTAATCTATCCATTTACTTTCTTTCTATTTTCAAAATACCCAAGAGGGTTGCTAAGGCTCTAGTTAAAATTCAATCCAACTTCCTGTGGGGTGGATCTGATGTTAAGAGGAATGTTCACCTGGTCAATTGGGGTGAGATTACTAAGAGCAAAAATCAAGGGGGTTTGAGTGTAAGAGATTTGGGTGAGGTAAATGATTGTTTATTGCTAAAGTGGTGGTGGAGATATGGTGCAGATGACAAAGCTTGGTGGAAATCAGTGGTATGCTCAAGATATGGTCGATGTGGAGGGGGTTGGGTGCCATCTCTATATAGTATAGCAGGGGTGTCCACAATATGGAAGGATATAGTGCAGCTCACTTCAATCAATCAGCCTTTGGGTGAATTCTTTGGTCAGAATTTTAAGTTATCAGTGGGTAATGGAAAGAGGATTCAGTTTTGGACTGATGCTTGGTTCACTGTCAGAGGTCTGAAGGAGGATTATCCCAGATTGTATAGTTTGTCCATTGAGAAAGAAGAATCCTTACAGCAAATTAGTGCCAAGAAGAGCAGTCTAGGGGTGTGGCTGCTCAAATTCAGAAGAAATCTATTGGCTTGGGAGGAAGAAGAGTTGCAGAGGCTGTCTGAATTTCTGGTTTCATCCCTTGCACTCAGGGTGGAAATTGAAGACTCTTGTTTTTGGCTTGCATCTACTTCTGGGCAGTTTTCTGTATCCTCAGTGTGGAATTGGTGGGATGCAGCTAAAAGTCTTGGTTTGAGGGTGCCACTTGGGGTTTGGGTAAGTCTGGCTCCTCCAAAGATGCAGTTCTTCTACTGGCTGGCTTGGAGAGGTAGAATCAAGACTTCTTCCTTCCTCCATAGGATTGGGGTTTTACCTCCCAATGCAGAGACCCAGTGTGTGTTCTGTCAAACCGAGGTGGAGTCTCTGGAGCATGTGCTTCTGTTTTGCCCTCAGGTTTAGA